GCTAGTTGTTGACGGAACCGGTGTAGATGAGTGATGCTGCATTGTATTGGTATGACTGAGGTTGGTCATACTACTAGTGTTCATTGGAGTGATATTATTGGTAGTAGTAGGGAGAGTAATCGTAGGGGTATTAAGAGTGGGGGTCTTTCGCTTACGTGATGTAGTCGTGGTTTGATTGAGATCTGACGGGTTGTTGCCGTTATGGTGAGCAGAAGTGGCGTTTATGGCGGTCTGGGATGAGGTGTTTGTAGAGGCTTGTTGGGATTGTTGTTTTGTGGAGGATATAGGCACGGATGCTGAATAAGGGGACGGATACGGTTGCCTAATTGATGCATGCGGTGAGGCGTTTATGGTGTTACGACTTGTCACGTTCGCACTTGATATTGGGCAATTCTCATAGCCGATTTCTGAGGTGGAATGTAACGAGTGCGTTGTTCCGGCACTGCTCACACCGCTGCTACTCCCAACACTGTCTGGACTGCACACGCTGAAATGTGAAATTTGAAACATTTGCAATAATTTATTTCGTTAAGCCAGTAACATAAACACTGAACGTTTCATAGCAGAATGAAAAAAAGCATTCTCATATTCCAAGGGTTTACTCGAGAAAGCTCAGTTCTGCATGGGAGAACTAAACGGTTCTGACGTGCTGCTTTGAAAGCAGAAAAAATTGAAAATGAATCAACTCATGTGAATGGAAGTACTTTACGAAATCCGATTTTGTTACTTTGTATCACTGAAGTTCACACAACTATGCGACGCGTTTTCATTCAAAAAAAGTAAGTTATGTGATCATAAGAATACTTTTGGACGTAAGCGAATGATACATAGTGATGAAAAAGGCTTGTGGATATGCTCACGAGATCAAGAGAATAACTGATGACTGTGAAACAATGACACGAAGAATGGAAAAGAAGATTCGAAATGAACCTGTTTGCTGGTGATGGCGTGGGAATAGAAACAGCAATTGAAGCATTTGGAATTGATGCAGGATGCGGTTCATCTTGGCTCATATATCCGCTGCCATGAAACGTGTTTGAAACTCTCGTCTGCATACCGGATAAACGCATTTGCGTATCACCTGAAACGTAACCACATAGCAAACGCCGATTGGCTGAACATCTAAACTCGTAGCTCACAGCAGTAATTGGTATTTTTCGCAGAGATTACCGACGAAATTCTGCGATTCGCAACTCAAAACGTAAGGTAAATTTGAAGCTGAACATATCATTAAACGACTAGTACACTGATATTCTGTCCGTTTCATCAAAATGAACCAAAATATAAGTGCGATCAGTGAAAACTATACAGCAGCACTGGTTTTAGCAGTCCACCTGACCTAACGATCAAAATCCGCCGATAATCAACTAATAATGGCGTGATTCATATTTCAAAAATTCTACACAACGTGGCTTTTCCTTCTGGTTTTATCCATCGTTGCACATATACATTCAGTAGTATCGGAACCTTTTCAGCAATCACCTACATTGGATGGCCAATGCATCTGGTTGGTGTCAAATTCAGCAAACGAACTACTGAGAAAATTGTTGGAATTTGCAAATGGAACAGACCGCTGATACACTGTTTTCATCAATAAACCTTATAAAGCGATTGAATTCGAACGAAATTCGCTTCGAAATTGACACTAATGGCATTGAAACCGTTTTTCAACATCACCATTCTCGGGAATTCCATTTGAGAGTGGTTGTTGGAACAATTGAAAGAAGCGGAAGTATTTCAAGCGCCAAATCAAAGTACTAGAGGTTCTTAGCATCATTAATAACATCATAGACTGCGTCAGAATGATAAAAGATCGCAAAACATACCCGATCCGTCGATTGGATTTCCTTCAGCAGATCGAGCAATTGCGTACTGTATACTTTCACCGTTACAGCCTTCAGGAAATGTCACGAATCGATACACAAACTTCTGACCAATCACCTGCAATTTAGACACATTTCGAAAGACTGTCCGTTGAATTTGTTGACAGATTTCGATTCGCTCATCGCTGACGAATGTTTTTTTTTTTGATTGTTAACTGTTGAAGTTCATATTCTTCCTGCAGTCTACATATAAAGTTGGAAAAATACTTTTTTCATTCCAGAAAATTAATTTCATTCACGCCACTCAGAATTTCTCGGACCGGTTCTTGATTTGCCCTTGATATTATGTGCATGCAACTAATAATATCTTGTACTGGAGAGGAGGGGGCAATATCGATCTGCCAGACCATCGAAGAAGGTGACGGAAATTCTTGACGTGAGAAACACTGATCTGATGATACATGACGCTAGCCGTTAAGGGCAAAACGGTGAGCGCATTCGTTTCATATGAAACTAATAAATTACAAACTGCCATTTTACACCTGTCAATTGTTCTATTACAGCTGTTCAACAAGCCACCACACACATGTAGATGTGTTCATTGCTGAATGAGATAATTCCACCCTGATAACCCTTTTCAATTCTAGTTCAGCTCAATTTCATTTGAGGTGTAAACAATCAACGTTGGGACCTAGCCATCAAAGGCTACCTATGTTACATAACGATGGTATATTAAAGAAATAGATTCGCACGCTTAAAATTTGAACAGTCATTCTCATGCATAGAAACAAACGCAGAATAGGACCGACGAAGTTTTGCACTCGACAAACGAAGTTTATGAACTAACCTTCTTGATGATATTCTTGTCGTAATAATATCGTAAGGCTCTCGACAATTTATCATAATTCATATGCGGTTTACTTTTACGTTGCCCCCACAACTGCGCCACTCCTTCGGCATCCAGCAACTAAACATGAAAATAGTACATATTAGTGTTTCTTTTTTTTCAAAACAAGAACCGATTATGCAATAATTCAATCAAATATAAATGTATTCAAAGTGAAGGCAAAATAGGAAAAGCATCCGGATGCGTAGCAAATGGCCAACCTTGAATTCGCCTTCCTGACTGGTCCATTGTATCAAGTTGGGATGTTTTCCCTTGACGAGCAATTCAAGCAAGAACTGCCACAGTGTTATGTTGGAATCCATTGATAACGAACTGCTGCAATACGTTGATAAGTTTTGTTTCGGTGGCTCATTCGATTGTAACGGATCGTTCTTGATGATGTTGTGTGCGTTACGAGCCACCAAATGACGGGCCTTTTTTGCGGTGAACGAATTCGGACTGTTACGCGAATTCGCTAGTCGGCACTCAGAAGTTGCAATTGGTGGAGTGGACAGTTGCGTGCTCAGAGGTGATGCTTGTAGCGACAGGGTTGGCGATAGAATACACGATTGAATTTGTTCGGAGGGTGGTTGAGAGGGAATCGTTGTGGTGTTCGACGACGTTTTGACGGGATCGAACGGATGTTTCGACTCGATCAGTTCATTAAACTCTTTCGAGCAATCGTTCAGCGGTGACGGTGCTTCCAACTTCACCGTGACCGCTCTCTCTTTATCGTCTTGTTCAATCCTCGTGATGTCTGCTGCAATTTCACTCTTGATAACAAACTTTATTTACATTTGTTTTAAGAGCGTTTGTAAGCTATCGTTAGCGGACGTGATTATCACTTCATTCATCAATTCACTCTTCTTTGTAACACAACAAAGTCAACGCGACAAAACATTCTCGAACACATTCGTACATTTTTCGCGTCTCTATGATGAACCCAACTCAAAATACTCAATGAACTGTAATTTTCGGATTGCTCTACCGGGAACTTACTCTTTCGATACGAATGTTTGCAGTACAACCACAAATCTGAGTTGCCTGATGTGATAAGAAAGCAAATTGTTGGATGTTAAATCTGGATAAAATACAAAATGATCCATTATACGTCACTTGATCAAATGTGCAAAATTATTCAGACTTTCAAACAAACAGTGCCTTTCACTCATGGTTCCATTGCGTGTTCTATTGTTTTCAGGAACACTTCTTCCTATTTATCTCCTACAGACAGCACTATCCTTTACGATTCTAAGTGCAATCAATGCAAATCTATTCCGAACATATGAGTTGCAGCATTTGCTCAAATTTATGTTTTTCATGACAGATTTTCGACTTTTCAGGGTTTCAGTGGTCATTGAACGAAACTAAGCAACATGGTGAGCGATGAGAAAATTGAAACAGATGAATGAAGAAGGATTAGTTGGAGAATGCTGATAATTGTAAAAACACACAATACGAGAGTTTCTTTCATACACTCTNATTGTTTCAGCAACAAGCAAATAATCGAACAGTCGTAATGAGTGGAACGAAACAAGTTAGAAATCTCAAGAAGGAAACCGCGAGAGGGAATGCGTCAAGAGTGGCGATGGTACTGAATGGGAAATATCTTTGCATTGATGAATAGGAAAACTGTAGCTTGAAAAAAATATTCACTTATATCGAGAACAATCGTAAAATTCGAAGGAAATGAATTATTGGAGTGAGAAAATTCATGCACAGTGAAGTTGTTTGGTGAAGCTATTGAAATGCCACAAAATTTATGTGAATCGTTTTATTTTACGATACAGACAACTTGTGAATGTCAGCACGATCATACAGCAGTGAATCGCTTGTGTAACAGTTGAGATTATTCGTTGAAAACTGCAATGCAACAATCGGTGATAAGCAATATCATGAGATCAAATGCTCAGTGCTGAGCGATAGGATGAAACGGTATTGTGTAAACGACACAAACTTGAAATGGGAATCTTTCATGAGTGTGTTGTATGAGAGATGTTTTTTTTTTGCAAATATCCTTTGAATATTTTTATCATCTCCAATGAATGATTCATTGACTGAAATAATTATTCTACAGCAGAATTCATCACCGATAACGCGTCAAAATGAGACAATCGTCAACAACTATTGCTTTGCTATCAATTATCACTTGATGTTGTTCAGCATATCATTTTAGGTGATCAACAATCAGTGCTACCATGACGCCAACCATGCACAGTCAATTCTTTCTGTATTACTGATCAAACGAATAAATTCAGTTCCATTGGACTTCTTCAATTCAGCATGCTAATTTCAGCCAAAATTTCGACGGAACCCAATGAGGTGATATGATCAGATTTGTGATAGTGAATGTTCGCAATTGTTCCATTGAAACTATGTTCTGGATCGATCGATGCTAAGTGGTAAAAAAAACTTTGCGAATAAGAAGAATTAAACATGGGAATAAGAGTGAACACATATTCCGATACGAAAACGATAAACATGTGGAATATTCTCATCAATCACAATGTGCACGCAATTCGATCGAATGAAATTTGATGCAGAAAAAATCATGAAGCACTGGCGCAATGCCGTGAGAGAATTGAAACTGAGTGAAAGGTTTTTTTTTTTGTTGAGAATATGAAAAAGTGACAACGAGCAGAATGTGATTGACTGCAATCGTACCTGATATGCACCTAATTCATACTATCAAACCAACTAACCTATCATGTCAGTGACAACTGGAATCCATTGAAAGCATGCTTAGATAACGCCTTCAAGATGGTGTGAGTCATCGTCGAAATTCATACTTTACTGACAATGATAGTTCAAAAAAGAAACTTCTTTCTGATTGTGAGCAAAACGTTAACCATCTGACGTGAACGTAACGAGACTGCATTGAGGCGCTGAATGAAGTAGAACGTAATGAGGCGTTCAGTGAAGGTGTAACATTCAATTGCAATATCTCTATATATGGAAATCTGCTAGATCCAATCGAAAACGAGAAGGATTGTGCGCATCTCGACAAAAATCTTGTGGCTACTCGAAGAAAAACGACGTTTCTCAATGACTGGACGGTTTGAGTGTATATCAACGGCAGAAATGATCATTTGGAAGCGTAATATTGTTTAGCATTTATTTGGCACGATTAAAATGGTGCACACGACTCAGGTGAGTGATAATACATCGAATAGTACTGCTGATAAAAACAAAACGTACTACTACTTTCAAATGATGAAACCGGAAATGAATCGATACTAGATAACAAGCACCATCCGCAACTATACACACAAATATACCCACTAGCTCTAAATTCTCACTATATTTTTAGCTACGAGCTTCGTATTTGCACTGCTTGAGCATTTAATAACAAGTTTAAGAAATCGATTATTCAAAACTTTCAAATTTTCCGTCATAATTTTATGAAGCATGCTAAAACTTGTGTGGATAATTCAGATACATAATTCCTCGTGGCAATGTGACGCTTGAAAAGTTCATAATTCAAAAACTAAGGAGATGTGTAGCGGGAGCAAGTTTTTTTTCCAGACACAGTTCTGAAGGAAGCGAGAGCGAATAAATTTCATGTCCACTAAAATGCATGAGCATCGTCAAGATAGATTGGTTTCATCAACGTCATATATCGTTTAGCATGAAACTTTCAATTGGGCAACATGAGAATATTCAGAATAACGCTGACATCATCTAGACGCATCGCATTTCATTTCATTTCATTTCGTTTCGCTTTTTCACATTTCATTACACCTCAACTTTTTGCTCACACACAATGATAGATCAGCATAGAATAAAAGTCATGAAAACAGTATCTAGAAGGGATTGAAGCATCGATGCAGCGATAACCACACAAAAACAAAAGAAATAAATCTCAACCATGATAGAGCCGCAAGTCCAAGGAAACATAATGAAACAAAACTTTTGAAAAAAATAGAGCGGAAAACAATTCAATTTGATGGAATTGGTAGAAAATGATTGAATGGACTGATATGTGGTTAGTAGTTAGGTGTCGACGTGAAATAGGGGTGTAGAACAGCTGGAGAGAGAGGGCTGAGGACGGAGATGCAATGAGGAAAGACGAGCGAATCATGATCGAGAAATACGAAACATGCATGAAAATCGGAACGAACGAACGAACAAACGATATTGATGATGATGTTATGCAAAGAGCATCACCACAAGACGAGGTGATAATAATCGTTGGCAAAAGACAAAACAAAAGCCGGTTTATTTAGTGCTGATGATGCCTTCCTTCCTTCAGCAATCCATTCAATTTCGATGCAATACCGAAATTTCACGACGGCGTTAACAAATCATTGAAGTGACTGATGCAACTTGAAAACAATTAAGTTCAATGAGAATAATACACACACATATAATACTTCCAAATAATCCACACAAATGCTAATCGTCATCGGATCAGCAATGGCTAAACGAATCAAATTCTTAAAATGAGTTTTTCCACTGATTTCATTAATCCGTTTACAATACATCATCCACACGTTCACTTGGATTTCATTGAAAGCACTCAAGCAACTCTGAATTTTGTCTACGATGATTGTGACATTAAAGCAATTTCGTTGCGTATTTCCTCAATCCAACGACCACTGCCACGTGAACCGACCCACCGTCATTGTAAGTGCTAATATCAACAGTCCTGTCTGCATTCCACTTTTAACAGTGATAACTTCGATGAATTATGCTTATTCGCAATGCCATGATTCCAAAAGTAATGCTTTCAAGAAGAACAACCAAAAAATTTTATCAGAGAACATTTGTGGACGAAACTGGAATGACCTGACTGCAATCCGGGTAATAGATGAATATGAATGGGATTTCTCGAAAAATCACCTATCAATCTATTCAAAACAACNACTTTCACGTGTTATCGTTTTCGTCACTTAACCTTTTCAACTCGACAATTTAGAAGTATCATTCAGCAATGATGTCCGCCAAATACAGCTGGTATTTTACGTTGCATAGAGCAGATCAGCTTGACGCTTTGTTTTTTTGGAACATAAGAATTTTTGCAAAGCGACATTCCGAATGATCACTTGAACAATGAACAATCCACACTTGAATTGATAAAGAACGATAGAATGAGAATTCGATTATCATGCGAGCATAATATTCCTTCCCCATTCTTGCTAAAGCATCAAAAATCAATGAGCTTGAATAGTGACGAAAGGCGATTCGAACACTATGAGAAGAAACTGGTCAATTCTGAATTTAGTTCGATAGCGATTGATAATATTTCGAATGTGTTAGAAATTGCATTGTTCGCAAACAAACTGCAACAAATCCGGAATACGAGTAATCCTTCAGCTAATTCCACAATAAGAGAGTTTCAATATGGCTTTATTAGGGTTCCACTCATACAGTTCCGCTTCATCACTCCTCAGAAACAATTGCTGTAATCTCTGTAGGATCATGCGAATGTCGTATTCCCCAAAAAATATTGCGATAGAAACACAATCATAATAGGAAATGCAAACGCAAAATCCGATTGATTTCCGATGAACTTTTCAGCAAGAAATTTCCTTGAAACACTTCATGGCACTGAAGTTACTCACATTATAGATCGCAATGATTACAGCAAAAATCATGAACTCAAATACATTCCTTGAATTCCTCTCATTTCACCTGTACCCATCGCTCGTCAGTCAAGTCACTAATTAGCTTTGAGTTGAGTCGTTTGTTTTTTTCGTTCGACTTCGCTCTTTCGTGCTGAAGATTTAGTTTCACTATCAAGCAAGTATATTGGAAGTATGCAACGAAAACCATACGAATCATTTTCATGAGATCAATCGAGAACAGCATTACCACAAAACCGAATAATGAACCAACAAACAGATCATTTTACAAGTCTGCAAATCAGATGAACCTCCTCTCTTTTCTATTTTGGTTTCATATGCAACAGCAAAAAAAAA